GACCCCCCAGCCTCACGGGATGCACCTCCCTTGAAGGGATAGAAACAATGTGCGAGTAAATAGGAGGATGTGTGCTAAGTCACAGGTGGCAGGTGCTAGGGAATAGGTAAAACAGGAGGAGGAGGAGAGAGCGTTAGTTAGTTAGGGGCTCTGAACATGGGGGCCAAGGAAAACTCTCCAGGAAAGCAACAAAAAGCTGGAGAAGGGAAGGGCCCCAGTCAGCCCTGAGGGGAATACCAGGTGAGGAAGAGTGCGTCAGAGACTCACAGGTCGTTGTGTGCCTGCCAGATGAATGCAAGAACTTCAGTTTCTTACCCAAACAAAATGAGGAGTAATTGGAGGCTTTCGGGAGTGGCATTACTTGATCTGAAGTATGTTTTTAGTGATCATTTTGGCTTCTGTGTTGGAAATATACATTTAAATAGGCAAAGAACAGAAACAGCCAAAATAGTAAAAATCAATTCTAATGATACAAGCAAGAGATGATGCAACTTTAAGCGGATGCTGGATGATATTTTATTATATGGATGCGATTTAATTTAACAAATTTGACCTCAAATAACCTATCTGGTGGAACACGCTAGGTGTGCCAGAGTAAATAAATGCTTGCTTACCCTCAAAGCACTCTCTAGCTAGTGAGATAGATATTTAAAGACCTACCTGCACCACAGGAGGAATGAAGTACATCTAAATACAAATGAATGATTATTTTATGGAAGTCCTTGGATGCTTAAGAAGGACGTGGCTTGTGAGCCAGATTAAAAGTGAAGTGGATTAGAGTCAGATAATTCCAGTTGAGAAAATAGAATGATGGCCCAGGTGAGGCAGGTGGGCCAATCTCAGTTCATTTCTTTTATCCCTACCAGCTGATTAGCGTCAACCTCATGCCTGTGTGGTCCAGAGGTCAACCAGAGACTGGCAGAGTTTACACACTCATTCCAGGGTTTCCTCTTCTAGGACATCCCCTCACTTTCCAGTGCCTGTTTGTGATAAGCAGGACTCTAAGGCCGACCCTACTATTACTATACCCTGGGGTGCATGTCATGCAGAGCCCCTCTCCTTGAGTGTGGCACACCCTGTGAGATATTACTAACATATTTGTATCTCATCACACAGCAAAATGAAAATTCTCCTGAGTGGGCCTTATCTAATCAGGCGAGCTTTATAAAAACAGAGAATGTTTTCCAGCTGGTCACAGAGGAAGACATCAGTGTCAGGAGCTTTTGCTGGCCAGGAAGAAGCAAAAAGCCATATTGTGAACTACAGGGATCATGTGGCAAGCAACTGTCCGCAGGCTCTTGAAGCCGAGAGTCCGTTCTGGACAATGGTTGGCAAAAAACCAGAGACATGAGTGATGCAGCTACAAGAAAACGAAGCCAGGCTTACACTTGTGATCCTGGCACTCTGTAAGGCTAAGGCAGGTGGATCACTTGAGTTCAGGTGTTCAAGATCAGCCTGAGCAAGAACGAGACCCCCATCTCTACTAAAATAGAAAAACTAGCCAGCCATTATGGTGGGTGCCTGTAGTCCCAACCGCTCTGGAGGGAGGAGCAAGAGGCTCATTGTACCCAAGAACTTGAGGTTGGTGTGAGCTATGATGACACCATGCTACTCTACCCAGTGTAACAGTGAGACTCTGTCTCAAAAACAAACAAACAAACAAACAAAAAGAAAATAATGTGAGTTCTGCCATCAACCAGTGTTCCTGGACAAGGCCTCTTAGCCAGAGACCACAGTTGCCAGCTGACACCACTATTTCATTCTGGTGAAACCCTGAACAAAGGACCCAGCTCATCTCTACTAGGCTCTTGACCTGTAAGACTGTGACATATAAATGAGTATTATTGCAAACCACTGTGTTTATGTAAATCTGTCGCAAAACAATGACTATCACACTCTGGTTGTCTTGAACTGTCCTCTGGTTATTCTAACAAGCAAACCATCAGAATCTTAACTGTTCCCTAGATGTAGATGTGGTCAACCCTCAGGGTAAATGATTTCTTTTTTTTTTTTTAACACAG